GGCCTCTTCGGCCTATTTTTCGCTATTCGGCCGAATACCGAATACCTAAAAACAGGAGTAATAAATAACAAAAACACAGTAAATTAATCATTTTGGTATTTAGATTTAATGTTATCGAGTTAGTGTTGTTTGTTTATATTTATTTATAACTTGTAACATGCACAAAATAAGAAAGAAAATAATAGTCTATTAGTCACATGTATTCACAATTTATAATTACAAAGATCAGCACACGTACACGTCTATCGTTGGAGAATCCTCGCACATCTGAGGGTCTGACCCTGCCTAAGCTTTTTAAACGCTCGTCTTTGCTCTTCCCTTTCTCTTTTTTCTATCTCTCTAATCCAAGCATGCCTGTGCATACATCATAATACGCGCTCACGATACTTTCGATTCGTCACTTTTTTGTCTTAGATTTCCTATTTTACAATTACGTGACTCAGCCTGGTTATAACGGAGAAAAGAGACAAATAGGACGTCGATATAAGTCACAGTTATGATTTCACAGATTCGAGACAGTTTGATAGCCCGAACGGCCCCAGGCTTTCGCCCGTGCACGCTAAGTTACTTTCATTACAAGCATTTAGCTTTCCGAAGTCTATGACAACAATTGTTTGGCATCGACGGGAGCGAATTTCGTGCTAATAAGCTGCCTCGACTCGTTCGATTACGTTATCGACTCAATTTCATATTTATTTTCACATTTTCAGTTCGCGGTCCTTCTCTGTTCTTTTTCCGTTGTTTACTCGTGTAAGTCATTTCGTTGTTATTCACATTTGATATCATCATTTATCACATACTTCCATGACACTCTTGTCTGTCCGCTACACCTGCCAATAATTAACGCGATTGGCGAAGCGTAGTGACAGTGGGCCAATAGAGAGCAGGATCCTTGCCATAATGCGGTTTGCGCGCCAATTTTCGTACGTGCGTTAATCGAGCCGAATAGTTTGGCCGAATATTCGGTATTCGGCCTGAGGCCGAATATACTATTCGTTACAACACTACTATTTAATAAAAGTTCTTCAGACGAAGCCCATGAAGATGAACATTAGCATGCACAAGAAGATTTAGCTATTTCTGGAATGTCATATGCAGTTCAAAATATTACAGAAGAGGTTATCGAATTTTGCTTACCATACCTGTAACTGTCGCTAAAGGAGAACGAAGTTTCAGTAAATTAAAACTTATTAAAACTTATTTACATTCAACTATGTGTCAGGATAGACTGTCAGATCTAGCAATTTTATTTGTCGAAAATAGTATTGCCCAGGCATTAAATTATTCTGAATTAATAACAACATTTGCAAGTGCAAAATCGAGGAAGGTGGCAATGTAGGCTTTTTATTTTTTTTATCTTTTTCTTAGTTTGTTTCAATTTTAAATTAATTGACGATGTAAATTTGTGTTTTGTGTGATGTGAGCGTTGTCTGTGCCATAGCAGTTTAAATAAATATTGTTATGAATATTGTCTCATGAAAGAAATTAAGTAAATATGGCCTTATGAAAGAAATATTGTTTTTTTTTTTTTTTACTATTACTGTTACTCGTCCATACTAGTCCTATGCTATAGATTATACACAAGAGTGAGCTGTGTTGTGAGAACACAAAACGTGATCCTGAAATGTGTGCTATATCTCTATAACCTAAAATTAAGAGATTTCATCGACAGTCAGGGGAGGAGAAAAAACGTCAACAGCTTGCGATACATCTGAATTAACAAGGGTAAAGTTAAGTCTCCATTTACCGTCGTTATCGTTTCTCATTCATAGTATTACTAATAGTATTACAATACTAATTTTTTGGAAGTCTGAGTTCTTAATAGTCTGAAAAATGTATGTTATCAGTTTAGTCTCTACAGGAGGGCACCACAATAAGATCTCGCATCACCTGATAACTTGGCTAGGGCCGCAACTGAATGCAAGTTGCTCCCGGGCTTCTGACAGTTAGAATCGTAACGCGAAGAATAGCTGATGACTCCATTATTCAGTTATGAGTGTAACTGATAGCCTAATTTTATGCCCGCGTCCATTGCTTAATCTATATTCAAATTCTCCTGTCCAACTAGGCAAATTTCCACCGGAAACTAACTTTCAACAGGAGGCAGGAATCTCCGCGGTCTTGTAAAGTGGCGTTTGAGTATGATGTAGACATTGATAGAAAATAAATAATTAATTTTACTCGTAATTGTATTCAGTTGCTTGTCTTATACATACGAGCACATTAGTGTAATTGATTGTTTTCTCATATAAAAACTGTATTGTAATATCCCTGCAACTTCCGACACGTATCTTTTTCAAGCGTCTTAAAGCTACATTTAGTGTCAGTTTAATTAAGTACAGCTGACGATATTAGCCGTTTGAGTCAAAGTAACAACAATTACAGTACTTAAGCTGAAAAAAGATTCGAAAAGAATTGGAATCGATAAGACGAATTGATTCGTAGAAATAACTTCAGCACCCACCCCAGGGGTGTCGGCGTAGAGTAACAGAAACAACAAAGTAACAGAAAAAGTAACAGAAAAAGGAACACTAGTGAATTTTCCATACGTATTTTCTTATCAAAATTCATTTATTTTTACTTATATCGTGTCGTGTGTTCAGTTTTTATATTAGTTATCAATAGGTGGAACTTTTACTGAATTCTCATTAAAAAATGTTTTATCCGGTCAATTCGGCTGCCCAAGATTAAATATTGAGTGCGCCCCAGAGATAAGAATTACAACCAGGAATTAAAACTAATAAATTCCAAAAAAATTTTCTTTAAAAAAAATTGCTTAAGAAATACAAGTAAAATTCACTGTTTTAAATCAGATTTCGGTAGAATTAAAAACAGATGTGGACTAGAAACTCATTTTAATATTTCTCACTTTATTTTTCCTTTTTCTTCCATATATATTTCGCTTATCAGCCTCATCAGTGGACATTACAGTTGTTGTTCTCAGATGTTGTTTATATGGAGATTTTAGCTCTATAGGCTCTTTCTCCGACTAGACATATGTTTATGATCGCTATGCGACCGATGAGCCAGCCTTATCCGAACGGCCTATACGCGCGCGCGGGAAATAATGCCTTCCGGGAGGACTTTTATGGGAAACTGGCCTCCTATTCAGTCGTTATTGGTAAGGAGAAAACCCGGAAAACTCCACGCAGCCAGCCTGTCCAATCCCACGACGAACTTCCCAGTGTTTAGGGTCCGGTCAGGACATTACAGTTGTACATCGCCAATACTTTTATACTCTATCAAGCTATCGCAGCATGCGTCAACACATGCGCCGGTATTTAAATTAATTCAATTTACACATCCTTTGATACAGTAATGTTCGATAACACGTCTGTTTACAAGATTTCTTACTTTGTACAATATTTTAATATTATTTCGATCAATAATACATTTTGTTACATTGCAGTGTTGTTGCCAAAAAGATTTGGTTCTGTTTAGTCGGATTGCCGCTTCATGTTCTTTCAGTCTCACTTCAAGTTTTCTTCCTGTTTCTCCAATATAATATTTCTGTTCTGTACATGTTCACATCACCCTAAATACGACTCCGGCTACTTCTAAAGGATTCCTCGATTGGTTCTCATTTACTTTGTTAATGAAACAGATATTCTTGTTTAACTTATTTCTTTGTTCACCTACTAAGTTGACAAAAAATAATTCTTTAATATAAATTTTATATTTTACGTAAAATTTTGAAATACAGTATACGGAATTTTAATATATAAATTTTCTATTTTCTTATTTTTGACATTATATCTATTAATATAAGTATTATACCACTTATATATAAGCTGTTGTGAATAATCATTTAATAAATATTAAAAAAAATTCTTAGTTTCTATTTCAACATACTTTTTTAAATATTGTTCTATTAAATATTTTTCTTAATTCCATCAAAAATACATTTCGTTTTATTCCTATAGGACAATATAAATTATGATTAATCACCTTACTATTATTACATACTTTTTCGTACTTACGAAACAGCAATGTTTCATTTTGTCTTGCAATTGTGACATCTAAATAATTAATTTTACAGTTTCTTTCTTCTTCATAAGTAAATTTAATATTATTATTTAAAGTATTTGCATAAATCTTGATGTTTTCAGCTGTTGTGTCATTTGCTACAACCAGGAATGTTGAAATGGATTAAATTTAGAAACATGAAGAATATTATGTTCTATATGTTAAAAGCGATGTTCTATTATTGGCATAAATTTTCGAAAATTTTAGCATTAATAATAATGATAATAATAGTTTTAAAATATTTTAAATTATAATGTAAAATGATTCAAAACTATTTTATAATGTTTTTATAAATACTTATTGGTTTAAAAAATTATAACAACGACATTTCAGTCTTCGTTAATAAAATCTTTTATTTTCGATTTTAAAGTTAATGGAGCGTAAAACTACTTTAGTTAAGCTGCAGGAGGTCGCTTCAAGCAATTTCCGCTTTGGTGGTAAACACTTGTATGCCTCGGCTTGTTGTTGGTCTCTTTGTATACGTTGTTTTAAAGGAATAAAATTATTTAATCAGAAACGACGCGTAATTGTCGACGAAAATGTAAAATATCGGAGACAGTCGATCAATAAAATACGACATTGCGTAAAACTGTAAACAGCAACAATAGAACGCCTGCCGTTACTAATGAATCGGAAAATATTTATGTCCGAACAGAAGATTATGTGGACAACTACGTTTCTAATTTCTTCGATAACCAGTTTAAAATAGAATTTCGTATGTGACAAACTTCATTCGACACATAGTACATATTATACGTACAATTTATGGTGGTAGTAGCCATCTTAACTTGTCTTTGGCATTGTAAACCTCGCTGCTTAGACAGGTTTACAGCTGCAGCTGCTAACTTAACTTAAAGAGAAATAGATTAACTGTTTTTTTAACAAAGAGGCTTTTCAAGTTAACGCGACCATTGTTCACTGTTCATATGCTTTTCTAGAATGTTTTCTTTTGTGTTTTCCCTAATGGCTTTTGTATTGACGAAATTTTGCTTAGACGGGTAATAAACCCAGCGGGAGCATGGACAAAAGCACATACTGTATATATCAGTGGAACAGTGAAAACGAGTCACTTGTGAAAGCTCTTCTTCCTGTGTAGGACTACTTATATAGATTTCAACGAAAAGATCGCCAACGAAGACTGACTGCATCGTCGCCACCATCCACCATTTTCAGACAACAGGTATCAATTCTTCTATATATCTCTCATATCTATTTTGTTGGTTTTAAGATAGGCTAAGGCATCGCGACTTTCTGAATTATGTTTTTCGCAGACAGTACGATTTGTTACGAGGATGGCGATATATAACTAGTACCTAGCCAACTCGAAATTAAAGTGTTTTTGACAACAGACTTTCTTTCCTCTACTTTTTCCTTGAAAAAGAACAGTTTACATAGTTCAAATTCGTAAATAAACGTTGAATTTAGGCTTTATACATTAGAAAAAGTTTAATTTTAAAATTTTTGTAGGTAATTCAAATATATTAGACATAAGAATTGTTTTGTTGACAATAAGTTAATTTTCAATACACTTTTTAATTATAGAATAAAGTAGAAATGGGTTTTGAAAAGTTTCGTGGTACTTACCCCGGACGGGATCCCTTAATGGACAGTTTGAGAAAGTTATTTTCTTTGCGCACAATGAGAACACATCCAGAGGTATGTATTTTAGTTTATTTATAAGATAATAATTGAAAAGTAACTTGCTACATTTTAAAATATTTATTAAACTCGATATTTATTCCTAAACATTTTTAAATGATCCAAGTAAAAAGAAAACGAGAATACTTTTTTTACTTGTCGTTAGAATGTATTAAAGTTATTTGCAGAAAATCGTTAAATTATGATAAACATATAAATATGTATTTAATAACTATATTAAACCATGCTTTTCACAATGCAGTCATAAAAGTAATTGTAAATAATCACATTGTGCAAGTGATGGGCAATCGATGCTCTTTTCTCTTATCAATTAATAGTATTTGGGACTTTTTAATATTAGTAACCGACGTTAATACTTTTTATTTTTCTAACACAAACTGGTAATAAACAATTAAATTTTAATTCGTATCGTAGTAACTCGTTAATGCTGTATTTCCTATATGATTAATTAGAGAAATATTTATGACAAATTGCTTGAATAAAAAGTAAATGACTTGTTTGATTTTTTACAGCTTGTTCCATTGGTTTTTATTACAGCAGCCGCTACGACTGGAATGGTCTCTTCGGTTTTATATCATTTATTTTACAACTTAGATGCAAGGTATGTGACGTTTCATAAAATGTCAAATTTTTACATTAAATGAATTGAACGTTTGTCTTTTAAATATACGAAATGTTTATTAGGTTAAATATATATATTTTTTATTCTTATGTCTTAATTTATATTTACTTTTGGCATTGATAATTAGAAATGTGTAGAATTATAAATTAAATAACGTATTTATTGTAATATAAAATTACAGATTTGTAAAAGGAGGCTATCCGAGATGGGAATTGGTGGATCCCGAGAAACCACAGAAGGTAGGATTTTAATATGGATTTTTATTTGTATTAATAAGTTTTATTTATTAACTGTATCAAAAGCAGTTTATTTAGAAAAGTCCTGTTATAGAAATAACAGGACTTTTCCTGTATAATAGCTACTTTATATATATTTAATATCAATTCTCTATTAAAAAAGTCATAGTTTCAAATACCACTTTTAGAGTATAAATTAGATTAACACGATAATTAGAAGATTGTAAGACCTACAATTTTCCTGTTGAAAAAATAATACGAATGAAAAAAGTGAATTAAAAATGTGAAAATTGTATTATTATTAAACAGATATTACGAACAAAATGACTTTTTAAAACTATCGAAAAATAAATTTTAATTAAACATATGTTTTGCAGCTGATTACGATCAAGCAAAAATGGGAACGAAATCCCCAATTGGATGAACTTCGCAAGATTATTGGGCCTTACAAACCAAAATAATTACATTGAAACAAATTAGAAATTTGTCAATTTTATCGACATTTGTTCGACTTATTTTGTACAGTTTTTCTCTGAATTTTCAACTGAATAATAAAGATGTAATATTTTAATGTTTAAAAAATGTATGTAATAAATTAAATGTTTTGAATGTAAGTTTCTGAACGAATTATTAAATCGGCTTTTTCAAGAATCATTTAAAATGAGTCTATAATACTCTTATAGTCTTAAATGCTAAATAAAAATTACTATAAAAATAATAAATTACAATCACAAAAGATAATTTAAACATATATAAATTGTATTTAAGATGTACTGTACCTCCTTATTTACTGTATTGCAATATACTAGAAATTCTATTGTTAAGCATGACGAAATACTTTTTATGAAAAACTAGAGATTAAAAATTGCGAATAAATTGAAAACTAGTTGCTAATATTTATTTTTTCAAATAAAGCAGTCTCTACTGTTTGTTGTAACATAAAGAGCAACAAAACAAAATTTCACCTGGAGAGGATAAAAATAGTAGGGGTTTTAGAGATTTCACACATAAACATAAACATACACATAAACAGATGATGTCCTCTATATTAAAATAATATTAAAATTTTTTAAAATAAAATTTCTTTATCCACTACATTCTAAGTAAACACTCAATTGGAGGGATGGTGAATATTTTAGAACTCGTGTTTCATATAGTAAGCATACTCGTACTTAGCTAAAGTGTAATGATAATAAAATTAATTCTACCGTAATAAATGTTTTTCATGAATTGTTACTTAATTTTTTTATTGATTTCATAACTTCCATTGAGATGTTAATTAAGTACAAAAGTTTTGTTTTGTGGAAAAATTAATTTGTTCTGTAATGTATATGTACTGTACAACACGCTAGTTTGGATCAATTTATTTAGGCTAATAATTATCAAAACTAAATGTTTTAAATTCTCTGAAGCCGTGTTGTCTTATTTCTTTGATTCAAAACTAAATGTTTCATTTTTAATTAATGATGGAAAATTCATTACGACATTAAATTTTTAATTCAGAGTTTGTATTGTGTTATATGAAGAAGTAATAGGTTGACGTAATTCGAGTATTATATTACTCGAATCGACGATGTTAAAGGAGGAAAATGAATTCATTTCGCTTCGTTATCTGCTGTTTAATGTGTATAAGTTGTGTGTCGCAACAAATTAATAACCGCATAATAACAATATAAAATTTTGTTACGGGCTAGTAGGTCAACGAGAGGTCAAAAGTTTTTGTATGAAAAATGCGATTTTTAAAAAGAATATCAAAAAGTTTTTTTTTAAAATATTTTTTTAATTGTGTAATTTTCGTTACCGAACTTGTCATTCTGCAAATTTTAATGGCTTGCAACGTGATAATGTTGACTCATAATAATTTAAAAATGCCAAATTAAGGCTAATTTAAAATGGATCAATAACTAAACTGCTATAATGCTAGTTCTCTGCTTTTACCTTCTATTCGTATGTATTTCCACAAGCAAAGGGGAAACCTTTTCCACGTATTCATTTTTGATTAAGGGGAGAAAAAGGGTAAAAGAGAAAAAAAAAAAACTTTATTCTTAAGTTCTTATAGTAAAAATTAAATTATTCCGAAATAGCATCAATTGTATTTGATAACAAAACAAAAATAGTCACTTATCATAGTAATACAATTTTTCTACACGATTGAATTCTATGCCAAATATATGATGTAACATATATATAAATATTGTTTTTACGAAACATTTTAACATATTGTACGAAGGAAAAGGTACGTAAAATTTGAATATCATAACATCTTTGTGTTTTAAATATTTATTTTTATAGGAAATATATAAATTTATAATATATTATCAAATGATCGCCTAAATATAGGGCTATAATATGGCTAATTAAATGATTGCAATAAAGTAATTTGACACTAGAGGTAGGCGTTAGGCACCATCTCTTAAGTAAATTAACAATCATTTAATTAGCCTTATTATAGCCCGATATTTAGGTGATCATTTGGTGATTTATTGTATACTACTAGGGCTTTGAGATGTTATTATTTAAACTTGGTACGACGAAGTAAAGTTAGCATGTAGTGAAAAAGGAATTAAACAGGAATGGTGTATGGATAGAGAGAGATGNCTTTTAAATATTTATGCTTATCTCTTATTAAATAAGTTCTTGCAAAGATGATGATGATAATGAGGATGCGTGGAATATTAAAAAGTGCACAACACAAATACTGTTTTATTATTGTAATAAATATTTTTCTAGTAAGGTTTTAAAATCTAATTAATGAAGTTATTAGCATTTGTTTTGGCTCTGTGAAACAAAACAATACATTTAGTATAAATTCCTCTATTTTCTTAAAGAAATACAATTATAAACATTTAAGTCAATTAGGCTACACAATTATTAAAATGAATGTTTCATTTTCAGACTTTTCTTTGTAAAAATTATCTACAAATACTTCTTAACAAGGCATTAAATCTTTTAATATGTCAGCTTGATGAATCTTAAGGTAAAGTCACAGTAGGGAGAAATGACGAGCATTGGGGAGGGTGGACGAAAAAATTTCCTTTCTCATAAGTTATAAAGCTATTAAATCCATTTTGAGGAGCACAATTAATTTTTGCTTCTTTCTTCTACCACGGCAGATGCGGCTTTAATATGAGTGCTAACGAAAAATTACATAAGCCTTATTTACAGCATCATCATCTAATAATAGTCAACTCGGCGCAGCCAATTCTTCGCAGATGTTACTTTCATCGAAAAAACGTTTGTTCTGATATTTTCATTCGGTTTCGCTGCAAAGTCTACTCTAACCGCTACTGCAGCATGCAAGAGAAATTTAAAGCGAAACGTTTTATACTATGATCGTCTTTAGACGAGATAAACGGAACACTTGTCCTCTTTTCGGATCGAGTAAAAACTTCTACAAATGTATATCGTAAATGACTTTGATGCCATCTTGTGAAAATCCGTTAAAAACTAGATAATGTAATAAAAATTTCTTGATGTATTTATTTGTCTCCAAGCTTTGTCCTCCCCTGGAAAATTCTACCAACGTCCGTGATCTGTACTATGCTTTAGATTGGCATTATAATTTATATGTATATGTATTTCCTATAAAAATAAATATTTAAAACACAAAAATGTTATGATATTTTAATTTTACGTACCTTTTCCTTCGTACAATATTTTAAAATGTTTCGTAATGACAAAATTTATATATATGCTAGCTACATCATATATTTGACATAGAATTCAATCGTGCAGAAAAATTGTATTACTATGATAAGTGACTATTTTTGTTTTGTTATCAAATACAATTGATGCTATTTCGGAATAATTTAATTTTTAATATAAGAGGTTAAGAATAAAGCCCTTTTCCCTTTCTCCCTTTCTCCCTCTTAATCGAAAATGAATACGTGGAAAAGGTTTTTCCTTTGCTTGTGAAAAAACATATGAATAGAAGGTAAAAGCAGAAAACACTACCATTATAGCAGCTTAGTTCTTTTAAATTAGAATTAATTTTTCGTTTTAGAAATTATTGAGTCATCATTATTACGTTGCATGCCATTAAAATTGGAAGAATGACAAGTTCGGTAACGAAGATACACAATTTACCACTTAAAAAATATCAAGAAAAGAAATTTTTATATATATATTTTTTTTAAATCGTATTCTTTTATACAAAAATTTTGACCACTCTTTCGTCTGCTAGCCCGTAACAAAAAAGTTAATTTTATATTGTTATTATGCGGTTATTAATTTGTTGCGACACACAACTTATACACATTAAACAGCAGATAACGAAGCGAAATGAATTCATTTTCCTCCTTTAACATCGTCGATTCAATTTCATATAAGTAATATAATACCCGAATTACGTCAACCTATTCCTTCTTTATATAACACAATAAAAACTCTAAATTAAAAATTTAATGTCGTAATGAATTTTCCATTATTAATTAAAAATAAAACATTTTGTTTTGATAATTATGAAATAAATTGATCCAAACTAGCGTATTGTACAGTACTTAAACATTATAGAACACATTAATTTTTCCACAGAACAAAACTTTTGTACTTAATTAACATCTCAATGGAAGTTATGAAATCAATAAAAAAATTAATTAACAATTCATGAAAAAACATTTATTACGGTATAATTAAATTTTTTATCACAGCACTTAAGCTAAGTACCAGTATGTTTACTACATGAAACACGAGTTCATAAAAATTTGCCATCCCTCAATGGAGTGTTTACATAGAATCTAGTGTATAAAGAAATTTTATTTTAAGAAATCTAATATATAATCGAGACGGGTTGATGATGATGATAATAATAATAATAATAATAATAAGCGCAGAGCCCAAACGGTTAGGAAGTTGAAATTTGGTACACAGATAGGGTACGTCATGAAAACGCACACTAAGAAGGAATTTTTCGAAACTCCCCCCTGGGAAGCAGAGAGACAGGATTAAAACTTCTATATACATTATGGATACGAACCGAAACGGTTAGAAGTTGAAAGTTCATATTTGGTACACAGTAAGGGTACGTTAAGAGAACGCACACTAAGAAGGGATTTTTCGAAATTCCTTTGCACGAGTAAAAGAGACAAGATTAAGGCTTAACACTTCCATCAACAATGGAAGTGTTAAGTAACAATGGAAGTGCTAAGTAACAATGTAAGTGCTAAGTAACAATGGAAGTGTTAAGTAACAATGGAAGTGTTACGTAACAATGGAATTATTAAGAGCTACGTGCAAGACGCAGATGCAGTTTTTTTCGTTTTTGCAGGAAATCGAACATATTTTTAGACCCACCTAAAAATTTTCTAATTAGTCTGGAAACAAGGAAACCCAATTCTTTCATTCTGTGAAAACGAGAAAGGTTGACTGTAACGTAATAATCTTTATCTTAGTTATCGTTACTTTTGCCCGAGCAACACTGGGCCCACCTGCTAGTTTTAATATAAAAGACATAATCTGTTTATGTGTATGTAAGTGAAATCTCTAAAACTCCTACTATTTTTATTCACTCCAGGTGAAATTCTCTTTTGTTGCTCTTTATATTACAACACACAGTAGACTGCTTTATTTAAAAAAATAAATATTAGCAAGTAGTTTTCAATTTCTTCAAATCTCAACTCTTCATAATTTTTAAT